TCAAAATGAGGCAAGGACATTTGCTTCGAATTATTGGGACTCTCCAGTACTCCCATCTTAATTATATGTGTGGTTTCGTTTATTTGAATAATTCCCAACGTATTAAAGGTTTTTCCTTTTTCAAAGTTTTCTTAAGTGCTGTGGAAAGGAAAAATCCAGTGATAATATTTTGTGTACCCTTGTGGGAGCGAATGAATATTCTACCATGCGTTTTTTTTTGTTTTGCAACAAGTTCACATTACGTTTTCAAACGAATGCTTCCCTTAAACCGTTGTGTTGTTGTAATAACATGGTTGTCGTCAATATTTACTAAGGCTAAAATAGTATCGTTGAACGTGTAGGAGAATCGAATAAGTTCTTTTGATCATTTGATATGCAAATTTGTGAACTCTTATAAAGACATGCCTCTAGCATTTTGTTATCGACAGCTGTTCGTCCGGAGACATGAATACTTCTATGATAGATCCGGGACTATTGAAAAATAAAATAATACAATTGTTTTGGATTCAGCTTTTGGGCAAGATCGCTTTTGCATCGTCATGTCCACTGAGAGATATCAGTTTCGTCAAGGAATACTCTTTTCACAATCAAAGCTTTTTTATACGTGCACATAATGTGAATATCTTGACCAGCAGAGGAGAAAGGGGAAATAAGTGAAAGGTATAATGTAAATCAATTTTTTAATCATGCTTATAATATTGATTCAGTGGAAAACAGAAAAGGGTGTCAATGATTTCCGCTTACCGTCGATTAAATCATTTTATTTTGGTCCAGTACCAAAGCAAAATGTTTTTTCCTCCCTGAAACGCAAAATACACGTTGGAAATACGCGCGACAAGATATTTCCACGTAATAAATTTGTTAGTGCACTAAATATGCATAATGGAAGCGTGTGTAAGAAGTGTAATAAGTTTCATTTTACATCATTACCACGTCTGTAATTTCAGTAGAACCTTTTATTATACACTGGTCAAATGCTATTCATGTATTAGCCCTAGAATGCCAAGATATCTCATGAATCTGCCATCGGTCATGATCAGATTCCGTGTTACCTTAGGTATCAGTTATTTAGAGATGCAGCTTAAAATTAGATGTTTGACGCCGTCTCGTAAACGTGTAGCAACCGCCCTCTTAGTGCGTTTTATAGCACTAATGCCTTCAGGTTAGCCAAGTAATTTTGTATGTACTATTTTCAAGAGGGGAAGTAACTGTATGACGATCACTTCATGCCAAGAATACGAAGAGCGCATTTTTGAGTCTTGTTGATTATTCATTTCATCACTTCAGCACCTCAGTTGAACATATCACGTTTTATTTATCAAAGATTTTTTTAAACATCCTGTGCCCATTAAAGCAGACTATGACAGCGGAATTATTTTTTCTTCATCATACTCGCAAGATGAACGTTGGTTTCAATTTTAAACTCCGTAAAAATATTTTAATCACCCTTCTAAAATTTAATAACTTCATGAGACCAGCTGTTTGTCGAGAGTGTTATGATTGAGTGCGGTTTCATCGCCTTTGTTTTCAAAATTCATCTTCGTTGGGAGTAATGTTTGTCAGCCTTTCGTCCTGAAGACTGGTGCATGTTATTGCAAGAACATTTTTGTGGTTCTAAGTATGGATTTAAAGTTGATGGGGTGTTTTAGCCTGTACCAAAATTACGATGTTTGTGGAGTAAGAATGACGCTAGATAAGCGGTTAACACCTTTCTCAGAAAAGTTTTTGGAATTAAAAGACGTCTGTCAAAGTAGATGTGACTAAACCGCACAAAAGATTAAGTGGCTCGACCATAAGATTAAAACTCTTAGTGGTTGTGGCGTTTCTTTTTTTAATTTTTTTTTCTTTCTAGGCTTTTTTAGCTCACGTTTTTGCTTGGTTTAATGTGATATCTCTTCATCAGAATATCAAGACAGCACAATAAAAAAGTCGATCGGTGTTAAGGCTTTCAATACTCTGCCCTGATTATAATTTTGAACTTCTCTGCGATGTTCGATTTCCGCTTTTCCGCCGGGTGTTTCTTGCTGTTATTGGCTGCGAGAATAAACCCCCAATTTGATCTTTCCACGCTTTTGTTGTAGGGCACTTGATAAAAAGGAAGCTTTGCGGGGACTGTTTTGATTGGTAGTCCCGATTTGCCTAAATATTGTTATTCGTATCCATATGCATTGCGAAAGCTAATAACAGAAAAGAAACCTGTCAGAGGATGAACATAATTGTATTCAATGGCCATCAGTTCTTCCCTAAGCTTGATAGGGCCTTCTCATTTCTTGCAATAGCCATGATACGTATCTGTTCAAAGATTTTACAGACAATTTATCTCAAATGCGAAAAAAGTTGTAATAATTAAAAACAGAGACCTTTTTGTGAGAAGTTTGTTTTATTTCATTGTCCAAAATTTAGTTAGTTATCATTTCAATCAATTATCTTTTAAGTTAACATTTAGTCAAGATTCAAAATCCGAAGTAATTGGGTAATCTATCTCCTTCATATTTCATAATTGGACGTGCTTAGTTTGTCGGCTGACCTTGCCTTAGATTCACTCTAAAGAACTTGTTTTGGATATGACACTCAAGGGTAAATTGTTTGATTGGAAACATCAAGTTGGTTGATGTTCAATTTCGAGATTCCTTTTGAAAGTCTTTGGATTGTTCATTGTTCTGACAACAAATGCTCGATCCTCCAAGGCTAGTTGGCCAGCATGCCCACTAATGCCTACCAATTAGCTAATATAGAAGCATGTCGTGCTGTAGGGTTTATAGTTAGTTGAGCAGAGTTAAAGAAAAAGAGTCGATCAGAGTGAAAGAGAGAGAGAGAGAGACGGTCGATGAGAATTACGCATAATAAGCAAGAGTGAATCAGAATTGGTGTTTTGCTTTGAATTCTTATTGGCTACTGATGATATCAACCTTTGGTCTCATTGGTCCTTGTTATAACTGTGGTTTTGGTACTTCGAAGCTCAATTTGAAACCTCACCGCTATGACGTAGTAATCAGTCTAGGACCGTTTGGAAATGTGTGCAATTTCCATGACGCCAAGGACGTACTGCGGTTAATGAGTTTTTTCTTTTAGTTTCAGTCTAACCAAAAGTTGATAAACCTCATTTAAATTTCGCTCGCTTTTAAGCGTCTTCAGTTTGTAATAGCTGAGGTGGGTCAAATGCGTAGTGTCGAATAATCAATTGAAAATAGCCAGACAATCAGTTGCGCGAGTAATTGCATTGTATTCAATTTTATCTGTTGATTCTTTCAAACTTCAAGTTATGCGGCTAATATTTAAAAATTAGGGCATGAATTTTACAACTACATCCTCAGAATGGTTATCAAGAAAATTAGACGCCATTCCTGACTAATCAACATTAATATCTGTGATCACGAAAGAGAAGAAATTTATACGAAACTGAATACTTCCTTTGTTCATTTTTTACACTGGACTAAAACAGTTCTTCTGTGATAAGTATGCACTGCGGTTAGAATTGCACGGCGGCTCCACCCAGCCTCGTAATTAGGTTACATTAGGCTTTGGCATTGACCTTGTCTTCATTAAATTTGAAACAAAAATTATTAATTTTCTTGTAAAGAAAACTATGCCAATTCGTTCATGATAACATGCCAGGGTCCAGAACTGAGCTTCTACCGAGGAGGAAGCTCTCTCTCCGGGGAATTTGCGTCACACTCGAGGAAAGGGGCTCTGTCTGGAAAAAATACATTGAAGTTTATGAGATTTATAACGTAAACTTTAGAAATTTTCTTAGCCTTTTTGTCTCCATTGGGAAACATTTCCTGTCTATCAAAACCGCAATTAGTAAATTTCTTGTGGAGGGTGACCTCAATGCTTAGAAATTGGCAAAAACACGCACGAAAAGCAATACTTCCTATCAATAAAGAGAGACACCGTACTTGAATTTTATGAAACTTTAAAAACTTGACGGTTAAACCTTTATAAGTAGACTTCAAAAAGAGTAGAACGTGAGAAGGGGAACGACAAATACGAAACTGTCGTGATAGTTTTTTTATCTTATCAAAATACATTTGAAGAAATCTTTTGTGTTGGTAATCTTCTATTTCGACCACTAAGTATGTGTGTTTGTAGTATTCATAAAGCAGATATCTGTGAGTCATCTCATCTCACTGTGTGGATACTTAGAAAGTTTTTACATCCATTTAATTGACTGGTTTGACAATCGTTAGCATTGTACAAAAAAAAAACTGTAAACTGATAACTTAAACGCCTAAGGCGTTAGGTTTACGATTGAGTATAACCCAAACGTAAGCTTTGCAACTGTAAACATGGTTTCTGGGCTTGTACTGTGGTCAGCATTTCGACTTGCAGGTGTCTAAATTGCTTCTAAAATAGGTTTATTCGTCGACCTAAAGGCTCACAATTTTAGCAATTACTCTCTCGTTCAATTTCTGGCAAGTGAAGGCTGCACGACGTGGAAAAGGAACAGCGGTAGAAGTTTGTCATTTGCTGTGTTAGGCTAAAAAAATAAGCCCAGCTATTTTAAATCTTTACCTTGTGTTGCCCATGCCTTCTTTCCTTCCTTCCAGAAGTTTTATTTCATGTTTGGTAAGAGCTGAAATACTTTTGAAATCTCTTATTATTATCGAAGTCCAAATTTGTTGAGACAAAACTAGGCTATCGAATGCTGTTTTGATGTGAAATTTTAGATACACTTGCTACAATGTGATATGGTACACAAGGCAGTAATTCTACTCGCTAGCTCAATGCGTCCATATAATTCATAGCTTTAAGTGCCAAACTTTTATTAAGTTTGTATTTCTTTTGCAGTTCTGTTATGTAGTTGAGCTATATTTTAACTCAGAATGGCTCATGTTTACACGCCACTCAGCCTAAACCAGCCAAACCGTACCTCATGCACTTCAAGCGCTTTCGATTTCTTATGCACACGAATTGCACTCTACTTGAGAAAATATGGTCTCCAATTTCGTCTTGAAGTTTATTTTATGTTTATCATGGTAATATCACATGCAAATGCTTGGCGCGGGTTGGTTTCTTAATTTCAGAATTGCCCCGAAGTTTAAGTCCAGGCTGTCTAAAGAGATTGCGATAAAAGTTAACGTGATCTTTCGCATAGAAGCTTAACTTATCTTACAAATTGCGCTTCGATAAAAAAAAAAGGATTAAAGGAGAAGAGGAGGTTGATGAAGCACGAACTCGTAGAAACTAGATATTCTTTTGTTTGTTCTCTACAGCACCTGCTACTTTATTCAGTTTATCGCGGTCACATTTAAATAATGGTAAAACATGTCGTCGGTTTTCTCGTTTGTGACAGAATCAAACATCCCCTCCCTTCCCTAAATGAAAGGCTTCAAAATTATGTTACAAATTTTTCATGACCAAATTTTTTGGACTGCGAAATCAGAACGGAAGTCTTCTTCCGCTGTAGATGAATTGCCTATGTATTCTTTGTTTCACTGCCTTGCTGAATCAACTTTGCGCAAAAGCGTTGAAAAGATACGAGAAAGAATTAGAATTTTAACTCAGTTTTCTATCAAGTGACATTTTCCTGATCGGTGAAGTAAATTGGTGCTGCAATAGCAAAGTGGAGGTGGCAACAGACGTTAGTACTTCATCAGTTAACTTAACAATGTAAAAAATAAGGCTTTGCGTTGTTAACCTGTCGCTGTTTAAGACACGAGGTTTCCTGATAGTTTATCCTTTTATTCACCTAATCGCGGTCGAAAGTAGACTTTTCTAAGAAAAATGCAAACAGCATTACGTATTAGCGTTGTGTCAGTCAAAATACTCATTTCATGAGTGAAGCACTATATTGTTGAAATTTGACAACTGTCGCTTCAAAAACATGCTAACCTACGTTTTCGCCGGAGGCCCGACCATTTGGTTCGATTCGGCTAGTAGTTAGTTACTTTGGAAAAAAGTGACTTGTACTCAGGGGCGTGTATTCTCTTTCCAGTCTCGATTCCAACGCAAAAATATAATTTTACAATCGACTTCGAATGAGAGTTATCAATTATTCAAGCGCTCGCGACAGATGTTGCTTGTTGTCTCACGTCTTGGATACAAAACTTATTATTGCTTCAAACCTTTCCTCCATTGTCTTCATATCTACAGCTCCAACTGTGCCAACATAATATGTGAGATAACATGTTACTTAGTAAGGAAAGCGATGGGTCATCGACAGTTCAATTTTGCCAGGAGATGATGAGGTTAAGCGACCACTGCGTTCAAGGTTTTAGCGACTTGTTTATCACAAACCTCTGAGCCAGTTTGGCGCGTTTGTTGTTAAGATCTTTTTCAGCTCAAAGTGTAAGACTACTTATCACGCGTAGCAAAGAGATCGTTTCGTGATGGTAAGCGATAAGGACACTGTAAGAAATGCAAACTTATTTGTTTTGACAAACTTAGAGCTAGATGTACGTGATTAAGAAGCAGGTTATGTGCATATGCTATGTGCATTTATTTCGATAGTTTAGCTTCTATTGTAGCTTACATGCGTGATAATGGTGTCCTCCTCGTGACTAACGCGAATTTTTCGTGGTGTAGCGTGTTTTGCGCCTCTTATCCGGTTTTGCCTCGTCTATACTCTATTTTCATTTCAACAGATTTCTTTGTATTTTTACTGCCACTCCTTATTTCTGTAGATTGGTAACGTTTCACTGGCTCTTTAGTACCTCATTTGATTGTTTTTATTCTTTCAGATCATGGCGGCGTTCAAGAGATGGCGCTCAAAGTACAAACGCTACAAAAACCAAATTCCCGAACAGATGAGGCACAGAATCATCCTACATTATGGACTATTCAAAATAACTTGGGATTGGCTGATTTTGATTTTAGTGCTTTACACTGCTATTGAGGTGCCGTTTGTGTCAGCTTTCATAATAGCGCGGGATGAAGTTGAAAACCATGGTAAGGATGCCCTGACTGGTCAGTCAACACTTTGTTTGTCTATCAACAGTTAATTTGCGTGTGTCTCTATCTTTTCGGAAGTTGTGAAAAACCATTGCAATGAACTTCATCAAGTGAACTTGCTCCAGGCTGCGACAAGTTTAGCCTGATGAATCTTAAGTAGAGATTTTTTATCTCGCTTCTCAAATTTTTAATTTTGGAATTTTAGTTCTCTGTTATCTTGGCCAAGTTTGTAATTTAGACTTTGGAAGGTTCGAAATTTTGTTTTCTGAATCAGCATCAGATAAATTGATTTTTTTCCTCCCCATTATTTCCTGAATCCTTCTGGAAGCTCGTTTTATATTTTTAGTGCCCAATTTCGTTCAGCCCACAGGCAAAATGAGCATTACTCAGTAGTTTATATTCTTAGAAACTTTATAGGTGCTGTATTGTGGGTTTTTTTTTTGTTCCAAGCCTAATGGTTCAAGGATGCTTGCATGTTTTCCCAAAAAAAGGGGAAAAAAAAGGAAAAACGAAAATGCTCGAAGAGGTTTAAAACAAATTTCGTTTCAAAGAGAAGAACTGTTAGAATCATAGTTTTCAATTTGAAATTACATATGATCTGCTAATGGTTTGCCAAAAAATGCAAAAGCTTTGCAAATACTTGTAAATATAGTTTCCTAGATCATTAGCCAAAAGGTCTGAGATCACGGGGGATCTCACAGCATGAGAATATGAAATGTTCAGGGCATGATAAAATCTTCATAAAAACTTTCCCGAAGGCCCTTCACATCATATCTGTGTTTTGCATGCTAACACTTAAAACATCTCTCTATGGAGGGCCTTGAGGTTATCTATATTTTTTCAACTGGAGGAAACCTGTTGTGTTTTGTGATAAAACTGCTTTCTCACGTCGAATACACTTTAATCCCGTCACGAATTGGAAGGAGGCGTCAGTTCAATTAGAGATGATCAACGTTTATCACTGTATCAAAAATGCCTGAAATACAATTTTTTTATGGACATTTGAAACCGAGTCCATTATACTGTCTTTTTGACGGAAGTATTCTTCAAGCAAACCAGATATTGAAAATGCTCTGCTAAGCTTGTTTTGTATTAAATTTTCAGGACTACCATTTACAAAAGAAGTGAAGATTTTTTTCTTTCGGATTCAATTAACAAGATTATGATCATGCGCGGGAGCAAAATATGCCGCCAACTTCTGCCATATGTAAAGTAAACATAATTTCTCCGAACAGTGTGAAAAACTACCGGTAGCCATAAGTTGCCTTGCGATTAGAGTCTAGGGTGTTTTTCATGCTGTTGTGCTAAAGGTAGAGTTTAGAAAAAAGAAGAAATGAAAAAATTAATTTTGGCACGCGCAACATTCTGTATCACACAGAACTTTAGCATTTTAACTACCATAAGACAAATTAGAGTGCAGCTGTTCCCAGCAGTATGTCGATTCTATGGCTAGCTCTCTTTTGTGTCCAAACCTCAATTAGCCAGAACTACCTGAAAGGAAGATCAATAGATAGACTTTTGGCCTTACTTGCATAAGCTAGTGTTTATTTAAATTTGCATTTTAAGCGGTCGAAGATAATGAACGTTGTTATAATTATTTCAACTGCTATTTGCAGCCTGAGTGTCTCAGAAAGGGAAATGATACCGAATAGCGCCATAACTCCCTTTACCCTCAACTCTCAAGAGTGATTGGCTGCTAATTTCTCCTCACAGTATCACCCTTGAATCAATTGTAAAGGTCATGAGAATGATAAAAATGATCACTAAGTTAAGAAACTCCTGATTTTCAAAAAAAAAAATTCTCTTCTTGTCATTACCGTAAAATATAGAGAGTGGAAAGTGTGAAGAATATAAACGTTAATGTTAGGGTGTAAATGGTTATTACGCTGAGACGCCATGATGATGCTACTTTGACGTTAATTGAGCGATTAATATGTTCATTCCTTCATTCATTTCCTTTGATGTGTTATTTATTTATGTATTAACGTAGGTATTTTTGATACATCAATTGCTATCCAAACTCTTAGGGCAAGGGAGTGTGATAAACTTTGTGCCAAGTAAGACACACTGGTTCAGATCCACACTGACTAAAAACTAATCGCAGTTTTCTTTTTTTTATCGATTCGCAGCTGGTGGATCCTCACTAGATTTTTTCGAGAAGTTAAGACAGAGGTACCCTGAGGCTTATCCACTTCTGTACACTGATCTGATCATAGACTTCCTTTTCATGATCGACATTGTCATGAACTTCCGCACCACATACGTCAAGGAAGGAGAAGTCCTCATCACCAACCCGTGGAAGATCGCGGTTCATTATTTTAAGACTTACTTTGTGGTAGATTTTGTAGCTGCCATCCCTTGGGACTTGCTGGCCAGCCTTAACTCTGGGACAGAGGAGGTGAGAACTGACCTGAAACATACCGGTTAACCCCTGTACACCCTTACATCAGTGTGCAGATTCTCCACACTGCTCTCTGTACGTTCCCTATAAAAATTGTGAGGAGAATAGTATATTTGACCATTTAAAAGATACTTACCCTGGCGTTTATTCCTTCCTATTCATAACGTTAATATTTGAATCAGTGGCGTTTGTGTAAGGAGAAAACGGATGATGGTCACTCTTAGAGGTTAAAGGGGAAAAGTCGCTGTTTTAAGCAATCCACAGACCTCAATATTATTTACAAGTGGATGTTTTAAGTAAAGATATGATTTTCCATTGCTGACTTTACGAGCGTCTTAGACACTGTTCCTGAAAAGGAAAAATTTAAGATATGGTTAGCACATGGTTTTGCTGATTAGCGGCTGAACGTTGTTTTAATACCGACCCTAACGGCACGTTAATTCACCATTTTAACGAAGGTCGCAGTTTAAGGCGATCAATTGGCCTCACTATCTTTTAACAAGCGAGTTATTTATGTGGTGAGATCATGCACTCCATTGTTAGCATTCATTACACTTTGTTAGGTTGCGGCCAAATCTTTGATTTTTTTAGACGGTTATTAAAATTCTCGTCTTTATTTTAAATCATTTTCGTGCTCCTATAGATTTGGCTTTCCAAATCAAATTCATTAACCCTCACATCCCAACATCAGTATGCATATTCTCCATACTGTACTCTATACATTTCTTAATATGCTGGCAAGGAGAATTTGTTTAACAATCAAGAGCTTCTTTAGTTGGTGATCATTTCCTTTATTCTCATGACCTCAATGCTTGCTTTAGTGGTGATACTGATGGGGGAAAATTGTTACCAATCCCTCTCAGGGATTAAAGGGTTAACAGTGGACAGCGGTTTTTACTTTAAGAGAGCAAATAGTAGTAGATGCGAACCATTGGTCACAAGCGAATGATATCGTGAAAAGTGTCGACTTTCGATAAAGGCTGATCTGCTCTGTTTTTACTTTCAGAACACTATGTTGTTTAGTCTTCTTAAAACAGCTCGACTATTACGGCTGTTTCGTGCCGCGCGGAAGCTGGATCGAAACTATGAGTACATGACGTCGTTATTGTTCTTGATGATCATGTTTTTTATGCTGGTTGCTCATTGGTTAGCCTGCATTTGGTATGCAATCGGGCAACAAGAGGCAGTGACGTACGACGGCTTGTCCTGGCTAAGTGTTCTGGGTTATCAGATGGAGAAACCGATCGAGGATGGAGATCCGACCAGCGGTCCCTCTCTTCGATCCAGATATCTGACGTCGCTTTATTACGTCATGACTCTGTGTACAACTGTGGGTTTTGGTAATGTGGCAGCAAATACAGATGGAGAGAGGATTTTCTCGATATGCTGTATGCTTATGGGTGGTAAGTCCGTACGCATTTTAAATTGTCATGGTGTCGGCCCTCTCCTAGATGTTCATCGCAATTTGCAAGTTTAGAGTCGGGATTTCAACGACATTTGTGTACAGTTATTAGCAAAATCTGCGTCTAAGGATACATGTAATCTTCAGGTAATTTACAGTAATTCGATTTTTTTTGCCCCCAGCTGTGATGCACGCTGCTATATTTGGAAATGTGACGGCCATCATTCACGGCCAGTACTCAAGTAACTTTCGATATCGCAAGGAGTCTCTACAGATCAACGAATTCATTCGCTATTTTAAGATTAAAAATCCGCTGGCTAGAAGGCTCAGGGATTATTCGCGCCACACTTGGTCTCAAACCAAAGGAACAGACATGGCAAGGGTAAGTATCACGTGTTCATTTTACTTTCATTACTCTCTTACCGGTTTCCAGCGCCTGTGAGCGATATCTGTCCGTTGATTCCGGACAATGATAAACTAACGAAAGAAAAACGGCCGAAAGTAGCATTTTACAGATGAAGATCAGTTTTCAGTACCAAAAGTGATCTAGGATTGCTTTGGTCCAGCTTTGCTTCGGTCTTTGACTGATTTAGGAAATGCACGCCACTCTCTCTGATCCCAAACTGAGACTAGTTGCAACTCGCAACCCAGTGTCACTCACGATTTCCTGCGCTTCCGTTAGTTGGCCCCTTATCATTGGAACCGTAAGCGAACTAGTTCGTGTTTTCTAATGGGAGGTTGAAGTACTTTGACTTCATTTTTACGACACTCAATCGAAATGCGACTGATTTAGTTAAGCAGTCTTGTCACACAGGTTACTTTCGTTGAATGAACCAAATTAAAAAAAAGCAGTTGGTTTCAAGGGATTTAACGTACTTTTTTTTAACTTATCACGCAGGTCCTTCAAAAGTTTCCGGATGGTCTTCAATACGAAGTTCACCTTCACATGCACCTTACTGTTCTGTCTCACTCATTTCTCTTCCAAAATTTCGAAGATGGCTGCTTGAGAGCGCTTTCGAAGAAGATGCACCGACATCATCACCTTCCTGGCCACCAAATTCTACACGAGGGTGATGATGTCGATTCTGTGCATCTTGTCAGGCGGGGGAAAATCGACATCATGATGTACAGCGAAACACGTGGAAGAATGCGTGAGTCGACAAAAAATGTTTTCAGGGAGTGGAAGGCTTTATAGTCATATATTGATTTAAGAGGATGAAAATATTTTGCCGTAGGTATTGTTACAGTTGTCTCCTATATTCTTAAGGAGATTGGTGCTGTATTCTATCTTGATAAGACAAGATAAGGCGCTAGTGAAGGCAGAAAGCGCACAGCGGCGCAGCATTGATATCCGTGGTAAATAAATATTAAACATTCTTCCTTTTGACTGACTGACTAGATAATTTTATGATTACCAACTGACTAACTAACTGACTGTTTGGCCCACTGGCTGACTGACCGCCTGAACAACCGATTGATCGACGATCGATCGATTGATTGACCGAGAAATTGCTTTGAAATTTTGATGTCACAAACATAGATATGTTTTTATTGACCTCTTCTGTTGCTGCCCAAAATGAGCAGAAGCATTTTTGCGGATAAGCATGCAGGTGGCCGTATTAAACAGTTAAAGGACAGTCCTCTTATTCCTTTTTATTTTTTGTCGATGTTACAGGGGAAGGAGATGCATACGGTGCCAGTTTAAGGCAAATTTCTTCTCGTCCACGGGCTGTAGTGACCTTACGAGCGTCAACATGCGTGGACTGTCATGTGATAAAGCTCAAAGATCTGGCAGACATATTGAGGTCATATCCTAACCTACGCTCTCAGCTACTGAGAATGATGGACGCTGCTGATCAAAATGATCTGTATGATGAGGTGATTTAGTTTGTTTTACTCGACATATCGGTAACAAATGATAGCATTTACTAAATGTATACAACCCATTCGGCCCCAAGCGTTCCCGGGTGGGGGTGGTTCTGGACCTAATGGACCCTCCCCTTGTATCCGTCATTGGTTGTTCCATATAATTTACTCTACGTATCCCTCACTAACCAAGCGCGGGGGCTGCACTACCAAATATCGGCCCGAGGACTTGATGGGAAGCTCGATATCCTCGCAGTAGGGTCTCTACCAAGCGTGGTTAATGGGAGATTTATTACATTACTGGAAATTGTCGCTAATGTTCGAATGATTTGAAATATTTCTTAAAACGCAATTTTGATAAGATGACTGGTCCTTTTTCTTACAGGGCGTTGCAAATGAAAATGGTAATGGAGGCGTTTACGAAGCTGGAAAGAATGGGTCAGGGTTGAGGAAATCATCTTGTAAGCACAAGAAAAACTCATTGATGGTGGATCACGAATTTGAAATGAAACCAATGCTAGGCGTTCGAAGCAGTAAGTTGCTAGAAAAAAAACCTCCTCACAGTTCGGAAGAGCGGCTCGGCAATGGAGACTTAAACAAGTACAAGAGTATTTCTATAGAAGATAACACCTCCAATGAAACAATTGGGCGTTTTATCAACGTAACGCAGTTAGTTAACATCGAAATGGAATCGCCTGATGATGTAAATGAAAATGTTAGAACTAGTGAAGAAGATGAGGAGGAGGATGAAATTATCAAGAAGGATTTTACAGAGGAAGCTCCACAGCATAAAATAAGTTTAGCGAAGTCGACCTGCTCTGACTGTAAAACTGAGTTTAGGCCTTCGAGAAAAGCGAACTTTGAGGAACGTTTCGAGGAAATGGCTACTAATATGCAGAGACTAGAAAGCAGAGTGGAGGCTCTGATATCTCTTTTAGAGAGAACTGGAAATAGTAATGCGCCGCCAGGAGGTTCTAAAGAGGAAACGAAAGGTAATTTTTCTGTGACGTCTGTCTGATTTTGGATTTGTTAGAATCTCGCGACTTCACGAAGTCAAAACGTTTTCCTTCGCCTTTGGAATCGAGTGCTGAATCATTTGTCCAATGGCAAGCTAAGAGAAGAAACTGTTCTTCCCCTACAGAGAATATTGATGGAATTACACAGGCATATAGAAATTACTACGACTACTAAGGGAGCAGTAAATTTCGGCAAACCAAAAAAACTTACACAAAGTACAAGGTAGTTTCTGTACTTTAAGTATGTTCCAAAATAATGCACTTTTTGTGATGCAGGTAAAAGTAACTTCAATAGACAATTGTTTCATGCGAAAAGTCCAGAAGCAAAGTAACACGTAGGCAATATTAGCGTACATGCAAACTTTGAAATTCTGATACGTTTTGTACTGCCTTGAATAGTTTTAGAGATCCTTTCGACTCCAGGACAAACACGAAAACACGCTCGAGGTCTTAATACAAACTTTTAGGGAAATAATTGAAAAAAAATATTCTATGTCGAGCTTCATTGCGCTCAGTAAGCAGTTTCGGTATCTTGCATTCGCCTCGATGCTATTTTCGCGGAATTCGTCCAATGATGTTGACGACCATTCCCGCTAAAACTGTTAACACAAGTTCGTACACACTCACTGTTCCACTTGTGGAAAATCTGTGAACTCACGGTCATTCTCATCTTAGAATCTAATGCTTTCTGTGCCCTTTGATAGTTTTCTATAAAAGGAAAGCAGTAATCAATGTTGAATCAATAATGGCACAGCAACAAATGACCTGCAGGCCTATTGTTTACCAAAGGGTTCTGTCAAGTGCAATGCGGAAAATTTTTACCAAAAAATTATCATTTCAATCAGCAATTTAATTAACTATTTCAAGGAACGCGTTTCTATCCAGAAAATTATCTATCCTCTTCACATTCGTAGAAACTTTCTGAGAATTTTTCAAGTAATTGTCCTTTTTGTAAAAAATGTAACCAAAGGTTTTTGTCCCGTTTGTTTTTATGCTTGTAATAAACAATCAGCGGAACTGAGAACTTAAACAAAAAAACACGTATATGCGAACTTGGTCCAATGAATGGTCAAAATAGCGCAGGTATGTAAAGGATTTGTCTTAATTAAAGAAGTCCTGAGAAAAGAATTACGATGTAATTTGATCACTAACTGTTTCTTTGGCAATTATTAGTTATTGATTATCAGTAATTCATTCAAATTATAACAATAAACTAGTTTTGTATGCACCCCGTTTTTCAAAGAATTGTGAAAGAAACTATTCTTTAACCTTTTTCTTCTTGCAAACGATTGCTACCTAACATAACGTCATTGTTTTCTTTTATGATTTCTCACGATCAAAGCTAGTTTTGACGCTCAATTTTAAGCCGTCTTAAAAAACAAAATGCTAATTTGTAGAATGTGTAAATAATAATTTTGTACCATTAGAGCAGTTTTGGAAAACCTGTTGAACAGTATCTATTTATTACCAAAGTCAAGAATTTGTATTACATCAGCTTAACATAAAAGTAGTCGTTCAATAAAGACTGAGTGGAATAGTCGTGTATTATTTTTTGTGAAATGCCGGGAGTTTTTGAGGGTCCTGTTTCCGGGGCGCTTGAGAGATATTCTCCATTGCAGCCTGGTCTTGTGCCCTCAAAATAGAAGAAGATATCAAAGAATCCACGCAATTTGCGTCCAATTAGGCCAAGTTGAGATGAATTTGTCATTTATTTATTTCTCTTCCTTTCTATTCTTTGGGAATTTACTAAAAAAAAAAAAAGAAAATTGCAGTACAAAACTGTGTGAAACTTGACCAGAGAAAACCATGGTCTTCATCGCCGAGAACGAGGTTCATTTATAAAAATTATCGACATTGAAAATGATTTTTAAAACGTCTTGCAGCCCTACCCGCGCTAATTTTAAAAGTAACTCAGTTAGTAAGCTGTCAGACTTCAATTAAAAATTCCCAACAATTCTTTACCAATTGTTTTGACAATTAATTGAAAGGCACAGGTCTATTGGGATTATTGTCTCTCGATGCTCCGGTTTACACTGAATAGCAGCTACTTGTATCCTTAGGAAGTGATCCACTTGAACAGGAGGATGACAGTAACCATCTATTCATTTTTATTCCCTTCCTTAGAAAGTAAAACCAACGCTTCCCTTTCTCCCCTTTTTTTTACAATCCTGTCTTAGTAAATAAAGACTACATTCTTTTCATTCTGCATTCTACTGGTCCAACCTTTTCTTCACAAGAGAAATAAGATACGTTGATTATTATCATATTTCCTTTGTAAGAAGACGACAGTACATAACCTTCATTTTAATTGCATTCTATTCCATTTAACGCGCTTTGTGTGAAACTAAACAGTTACACATTCTTAATTCTTCATTAGCTGGCTGAACGTGCAAACAACATTCCGTACTGTCTGTGACGTACAATCGATAATTGGCCGGCTGTTTTGTGTATATTCATCATCATTCGCTGTGCTTATATCAATATTTCAGGACGAAATGATGTCCTTATGTTTGTTTTGTAGGCGAAAATGCCAAAAAATCCGGAGGATAAAATGGCATTCGCAAACTTCTATTCACACTTAAAAGATCTTGATCCAAATTCTGGTGCATAAAACCAAATACAGGTGAAGTATATGAAAAACAATAAAACAGAAATCTCTTAGCGACTATTGTAAAAGCTGCAAACTATTCCTGATAATATATATCATCAGTAAACGTACACTTGTCAGACAGCTTTGGAAGATTCAAGCTAAAACGTTTTTAGAAGGAAATGAAATCTTTAAAAAAGTGCTCGGCAAGATTTCCGCACAGTCTTACTCTTCATTATGCATATAGTTCTAAGATAAAGAAAACAATGGCCAAAAAGATGATTGGCTTTGAGACCGCGGCTTTATGTTAGAAAAGTGTAGGGTTATACGATAATCTTATCGAGTGCTCAATATAAAATCAGGTGAACTATTCCTTTACCAAACTCGTTCCTTAAAAAAAATTTAAATTTAAATCAATTTAATATAAAACATCTTGAGCAAAGAGGAAAAGATGAAAAAAAATTCTTCTATCCTGGTGCGTAAAAATTCACAAATACTTGAATAACAATGAGACGAAAATATTTTCAAACGTTTTCAACCAGCTAAAGTTTTCTTTGGTAATTGTCCTTACTGTCTGCCATACAATTTCGGAGAATTTGGCATCGGATCAACTAAAACTCTCCTCATCGCGCTTATGAAACCATATCAACGCCCACGCGGTTTCTGCTTACATTAATAATAGATAGCGCCACGGTCATCTCAAAAAGTTGGATCATTTGCCGAAGAATCTCAAGATTTTACAGCTTTCTTTACGAGATAGTCACGCTGCACGTTTGAAGAAAAAGCGATTTCTTTCTCAGTCGAAAGGATCGCTGCAAGAAACAACTAAATTTATTAGCTTCGCAGCACCGTTCGCAAAGAGACCGAAAGTTGTAGTCAGACAGTCCTCTTGGCCCAAGTCTACCTGGTCTTCCAGGAGCGCTTTAACGGGCGGTACGACAAATATTGTGAACAGTTTCTTCTAGAGAAGAGAGGCGATCGGTTTCTGGCGCGGCTTGATATATTGGAGATTTTCCATAGCCAGTTAGTAACAAGGCGGAGACGTCGTTATCTTCGAAAAACATATCTATGGCTTTCTACCGTTCTTCTTAAAATGTCTCTATCCCAAAGGTTGCGCAAACTTGCCTTAAAACCTCGTCGTAAGTCGCTATTGTCCGTAAAGTTGACCATGAAAGCACTTTAGTCAACAGCGTAATCATTAGTATAAAAGAAAACCACCAACTCTAGCAATCACAATTCACGAATTAAAATAAGGTTAACCAATTAAAGTCATTATATATTTTCTTGCAAAAGAGTTACTTCATAGAACACGCTTCGTGGACGTTCCTTCCCTTCTGTTTCTCCTTGGGAATGGGGGGGGGAGGGAAGGGGTGAAGGGTACGGCTACACGTAAGCTACGTTCTCGCCATTTGTAACAGTTGTCTGCGATCTTTAAGAAGAAAGATTCTGACCTAGAAACGGATTTTTTATATTACACTTTACGAGGTCTATTTCGGCGGGGGTAAGATCATTCTGTTGAATGCGATCACAATAATGATATCTCGGGAGATCAGGGCCTAGAATTTAAAAAAATATTTGGAATTTGGGAGAGGAAGAAGCCTCTGTCATTAATATATCATTTTGACAGAAAAAAGCCTCAAGCTTTTTAACACAACATAATAGCGGCCGTGTTCAATTTCATGACGTCATGATTTTGATGCCCACTAGGCTGAGAAGAGTCACAGGTCAGTAGTTATTTACCTCGAGCCTTGAATTGCTCGATCGCAGTTTGGCAGGCATAGCTGTCTTTACTGACTTGTGTGGAGAGCGAATTTAGAGTATGGCGTTCTCGTCAAAGATTTTACTGCTTGTGGGTATTTCTCTGGCACAGTTTTACATCGTGCAAGGTGAGTTTAGAGGCGTTTTATTTGACAGCAAGTAATGGACGTGATCGAGTTATTTGCGTCTGTTCTAGAAACCAAATATGGATGGTTAATAGACGAAGAGTTATGTTTATGTTTACGAATGCTAGTCGCTCTTTCTTTGGCAGAAATTCGCGCTTTCTCTTAGACGTAATCAGTAGATTTAAATGTTGTATGTGTTCAAATACCAGTGCAAAATATAAACCGTACGGAATTTATTTGATACATCAGTTAAATGTCCATGACACCAGTTTGATATAAGGCATATGTAATCCTTCATCTTCCAGTTGTCCAAACTGTGAAGTAAGTTCGATTATTAGTACCTCATAATAAGGACAAAAGCTTCATTCGATCTGCACTCAAACATGTTATCTCCCACTCAAACATGTTATCTCCAACGTCTTGTCCTGCTCTGCTCTATTAAAAGCCATGGGTGTGATAAAAGCCCAGTGTGATAAATAGTCCTATTTCCTGTAAGGCAACCGACAAGATTGTTTGTTTTTTTGGCGATTCCCCAGCTACATCAATCTTCACTGTGCTTATCGTCTAATGACAGCCACTCCTAATTAACCAAAGGTTTCTCTAAAGGTTCCAAAGGCCAGCAGTTCGTGCGTGATGCGAAATTATCTGTACCAAGATCAATTTGTGCGTCAACAGTTCATTTCGTTGTTTTTCAAAGGGAATGTTTCTACCACAGACGACATGTTGATTCCAGAGCTTCAAACTTTTAGTGCAAAAGAAATATTATATTAAAAGGGTAGCACCTAACTTTTGAGGTTAAATGCTCAGATTCCTAATCCGACATATATCTTTCCATTTCCACCAATCTTATCAAACTCAGTGCAGAGTTAGAACTGGTTAAACATTGCTCCCCGACATCAAAGGGAAAAGGAATTTTAAAACTAATTCAAACTTTGTACTATTGATATTTGAGTACATAGAATAACGCTCAGATGGTCTAGAACAGAGTCCAGTTTGTTTTAAAGCTAGGAAAATATAAAGTTGCGGAAGTCGTAGGGGCTGTTATCAAAAAATCGATTTAATGCGATTTACAAAGTTTTTCCGGTTTGTTTGTATTCTTATTTGTCGTTATTTTTCAATTAGTTTTGAGCAAATCAAATAAACCCTCGTACTTGCAATAGGAGACGTCTGTCACATTGGTAAAATTATTTTGTCGATGTGAGGAGTGTGACAATCATTTCAATCACGCAAACATCAGTTGGAATGCAGATTTATGTCAAGATTTTTCCGCTGACCCCTAAAGTTACCTCAGACATTTTTTTGTGTTTATTTTCCGTCAACTCCCTTCCTCTCCACATTTGTTACTAATCCAATATTTTGCAACGATTAAGACATCCATCACAGGCCAGCGGTAATCAATAATCTTGTATGAATGATAAGATAATCAATTTGAGAAATGTTTCTAATAGGATTCAAATATTCTTTTTTGTTCAAAACAAGGATGGATAACCATGCGTAGTGGACTCAATTTAATAGAGGTCTCACTAAGCAAACCACAAGGGCAACCAAAGGAGGGCTGTTCTCTCTCTTCCCCTTCGTGTCCGTCACGCATGGTACAACATTTGAGTTTTTTATTCGTTCGCTCTCGTCTGTAATGATCAGCGGTATTTCGTGGATACTAAACTTTCGTATAACACAGCGGTCAAACGTCTCTGCATAAGCGAACGTTGTAATGACAGGATACCAGTGCTTGAATAGGCTTTGTGTTCGAAAATTCTCTCGAGTTTTCCTTTTCCCTTCTTTTGTTTCCAATAACAGATTTTTATGAACTCGTCAATTTTCTTTCGCACATTTTACGAGACAGCGGTTGTTTGTTATATTTTCCTATGAAATTTCACCGGAACTGATCCCCTCGCGCATGACGTTCAACCGCTGTTTTTATTCGCATGGGGATCTTAACAGAGCCATGTTGAAATTAAATCGACTTCTCTTGGACAGAATATTACATTGTCTTGGTTCCGACGGCTGTCTGTGAGTTCTTTTATTCACCATACCAACTTCCTAAATTCAAATTCGAGATAGGGCTTCTTTGTAATGCCGCGAGGTATGTTCTATTTATTAACGCTTTGCTGGGAGGAATGGTAAGTGTAAATGGTTAAATGTATAGTAAAGGAAGAGATTTTAGTTACCAATTTCTTTATGTGCAACTGACGCATAAGCTTTTTCACATTTCCTTTCTGACAGGTCAGAGTTACATGAACTGGGTCGGTCGATGCTGTACTAAAGGTCACCGCAAGGCCTCAAAGAATTATGACCCTTCTTCATGTAATTCGGATGATTTGGACAGGCGACGATTTAATACTAAGTTTGAACGTTGGATTTGTCGGTTGTCTGAAAGGGTATGCTGTATGAAAGAAATACAGAAGAAAAGCTGCCAGAGCGGAATTTTTGAAGCGTTGTAAGTAGTGACAGAAAGGGACGCATTAACTTTAAAAGGAATACAAAGCAGTCAAAGGATAACGATAAAAACGGATTATACGTGAAGACGAGTAACCAAATTATTTCAATATGCAAAAACCGTTACCTAGAGGTTTATTAAGAACTAACAATTTAAGTATTAAAAGCTTTTTTAAAGCAAAGTCTAGTAATATATCTTATGTTTTTTTAGACTCGGGAATTCCTGTGGCAGGTTCATGCCTTTTGTTGGCGGAGATGATTTCCGTGAGTGTTGCGATTGCTGTTCTCTGGGAGTCATGGCCAAAGCGAACAACGATACCACTTGCTCAGCGGAAAGGTTCCCGGCGATGCTGCTATCCAACTCAAGCATTCAATGCATCAAAACATTTAAACAGTGTTGCAAAGGTAAGGTCAATTTCCCGATCATCAGAAGAGCACTTAAGGACGGCAATGTATTTGTCAAAATGTTTGGATGAAATTGCAATTTAGGAAGACCACTGAGACAGGAACGAAACCCCTTATCTATTGATTTGTTCTAACCTACTTCGAAAGGCAATGATGCTGAAATTTGATGCTCAGTTCTACCCGCAGATAATTATGTTCGGACAGAGTAAGGTCCAATTCGACCTGTAATCATCTCTTTCGCGATTATCAGAATCGAACGATGACTAAGCGGGTACTCGATTTGTTACTCACGAGTATAAATATAGAGAGAACTGGACGACATTCAGTCCCGTTACCAATAAAGTCAACTATAACAAACTTTTAGAGATAAAATACTAACCGAATTAACTTATTCATAAATGAAACATGACGTTTGAATTTTTTTTCCACGAGAAAGTGTACCACTGATCTCGATAACAGCGCGCGCAAGTGACGTGTACTGTAAAATTACACGCGCATGAGCCTTGTACTGTCCACTAGTGGCAAAAGTGGGCAGCTCGGCTTCAGATGTCCTCTCAAGCTCGAGAATTTTGTCATTTTTTATCATTTCTACAGTCTGGATCAGAATACTTAAGACGATTGCATGAACCAGGGATACGCCCTAGAATTCGAAGCCCAGAAAATTTCTATAGCCTCTTTTTCCTCTTCCAACTGAGTCAAGTTACAGATAACTTGGTGAACTCGGTGAGCTCGGCCTTATATTAGGTTCATATACTGACGCCAAGCGCCCTGCGCACTGTTAAGATAAGCATTGGCGATGGTGTCTGTTTATTTATATTAAAGGCTGATGAAAAGGTGAATGTTTCCTCCTCAGGAACGATCTCTCTCCCTACGGTCCTTCCAACCGCCAGAAAGCCGAAGTGCTCCGACAATTTCTGTCAACAGGAATGCCAAGATTCACCCACACAAGGGGCACAATGTACCTGTCGAGATGGATACCTCCTGAAACCTGACAAAGTATCTTGTCAAGGCAAGGCCGCAGTCTTATTGAACTTTTATTTGGACTTTGTGTATTCTGTATCCATTCTGCAGGTGAATCTGGCTTTTGTAACTGCTGCAAGCTACACACAGGCTCCAAAAGGAGGGGCGAAAGCTTGTTCAGAACTTGTTTTCGTATTTTCAAAACATACCCATGCCTTATTTGGGCAGTTTACCTGTCATGACCACTTCGCCCCATTAAATCTTAATGATGCAAAATAGGAACCCCCAAGTTCAAACCACTCACTGAGTATACCAACAACTTTCCTTTTCTTAAAGACATCAACGAGTGTAAGTTAAGAGGTGGTAATACATGCAGTCCTTTAGAACGGTGCATCAACACTCCTGGCAGTTATCGTTGTGAGAAGGGAACAACGGAGGCAGCGTGTAAACTGGGGGAACAACTAGTGGATGGAAGTTGTGTAGGTGAGTGTTATTTTTCTTCTGTGAAACGATAGAAGCTAGTTTTCTCTTCGCAGAGCGTACTCTCCAAGTAGTATAACGGACTTCGAGGTCACCCTGTCTTGTTTACTTGCTATCTTGTCTATTGTCTAATTTTATGTCAAACGAAACTTGCTGAAGCAGGTTCTTTGGTAGCTGAATTATTTACACAGGTTCTCTGAAGCTCCCCAGAACGGTATTTCAACTCTCTCCAAGATAACACCCTCTAGTTAAAAAGGAACTGTTTCTTTATTCCCATCGAATTTTTTTTCTACATATTATAGATATCTTAGGAGAATTTCTATGTTTAACGTGTTTGCCCCCTTCCGCAACTAAAAGATATCAGATATCCCGCAGAGAACAGTTTAATCGTTGGAAAATAACGTGTCGAGCCTCTTTTTTAACTGGGTGATATCGTTTACTTAGGTAACTTGAGAAGCAAACACCGAAGTACGTTCTGCCTTTCGCACCTGTAATGTTAAGAACTTCGTCCAAACTTCTGCCACAATTTTTAGGCGTGCATGTGAAAAGTTTCGATGTGGCGCAGTTTAGACATCATTTTCGACTTCCTGCACATGCGTTTTTGTAAGTCATACACCAATCGTAATACTCACGAGATATCAAACCTGCTCAATTGAGATGGAAGTGTTTTTTAACTGTATATTATTCTTTGATGGACAGATATAGACGAATGTGTGCGTGGACTTCATCGCTGTGGAGCACAGCAGACCTGTGTTAACAATGATGGATCTTACGTTTGTACCTGCAGGAATGGTTTCCAAGCTTCTGGGACATCATGCATCGGTCAGTAGTCTTAAATCAAGAAATTATAATTGAAATATGGTGGATGTGCTCAGTAATCCAGGTACTTTTGTTGAACATGGCTATAGGGCGTTCACTGGAAGCCTACTCAATTTGAAGAAGCTTAGTGAAAAACGCAGGGTAGACGAATTTTAACGTGGTATCAGCATTTATTACTATGATTTGTATTTGATGATACGAACTCCCTCAAAACATATCGGTCAGTGATGAAAACTGACCCAATGTAACGCGAACTGAAAGGAGTGACGCGCACGAATAGAAATGAAATAACCACGATGACATGAGGTGACAAACAATTAATGATGTGGCATGTCTGAACATAACCTCATTTGAATTTTACCTCAAAAAGTGCCTCCATGTTACGCGAAACATTAAACCATATGAAGTGTGACCCAATGAAACTATTACGATTTATGTAAATGACACGGATTAGCCCAAAATGAAAATGGTGATATAGTAAAGAAGACTTCTCAGCGAGTTCACTCACAGCAATCAGATGTTACATGTTTCTATTAAAATCCATAGACAAGGACGAGTGCAGCACAAGAGAGGCCCGATGCCCTCAGTACTCAAGCTGTGTCAACAATCAAGGGTCTTATCGATGTCAGTGTGAAAAAGGGCGGCAATTACTCAATAACAAGTGCGAGGGTATGATGTTCAAGTTGACATTCAGTCCCACGTTTAGCTCCTACTTCCCTTAAATTATTTAATCATTACAGAATCGTCACTTTTACTTGTGTTGTGCCTTACTTCACCCAAAACTATAACTGGGTACCATTAAACAATGAACGAAACCATTCAAAATGACTAAGGGAGCGGAGCGCGATAACCTTCCTTAAAGTCTCGTACCCAGACCTTTCACGGGCAGAGTTAAACGGGAGGTCTGGATACGAAGCTACCTTTCATGGTGCAACATCCTACCAGGGGAAGAAGGTAACCCATGCTATTGGTTTGTTCATCCTCGCTGTTAAGACTGGGATAAGCTTCGTCGGTCATGCATCAATTCTCGCCTGCAGACTCGCCTCTCCTTTGCACATTTCTATTTCTGACGATAATTTATATTTACACTTTTAGATATCGATGAATGTTCATCCAGCAAATCTCCCTGTGCCCAGGGTACGAGGTGCGAGAACACGGACGGATCTTACAAGTGTACCAGGATCACTGTTGCATGCAGATCAGACCAAGTACTCACTGCTAACGGAACATGCAAACGTAAGCTGTAACTGTTATCATTATTGTAAGTAAACGGTGACCCTTTTGAACAATCAGTTAAGAGGCGTTTCATATACCATAACACTCTTACTAGATAATAATATGATGTTGCCCATCTTTGTATACAGGATGTTTTCGCATTAATTACATCCTTTTTGAAATCACTGGTGATCTTTGCAAACTGATTGGCTATCATCGGTGCGATTTATTCACGAATCGCACATTTTTTTGCTCCAAATCGTATCCTTTCCCTAACCTTTATTGACAACACATCAACCAATCACATTTCAAGGCTTGTTTGAAGTAACCAATTTAAAAAAATGAAAATGAAAGACAACTTCTGCAACTTTTTACAAACCAGCTTAGCACCGGATTGACATCAAATATTTGATCAGACTTAAACAATCCTTTATTTGAGCGGCTGCATTTTGTGATTCCTAAATAGATGCAATGGAATGGTAATTGAATTTCATTTCGTGCATTTT